AGTACATTAATTTATTGAATTGATTTTAGGGTAATATCAGCAGACATCGATCAGAAACGGCTGGATATGGCCAAGTCTTTAGGGGCAGATGTGATAACCAACACTCGCGAGAAGAACCTTAAAGATGTAATATTTGTCTCAGTTGTTACTAGAAATATAAACTTAGGAATATATTCAAAGTCCCCACAAGTAAATCATACACACAAACACACATTTCTTCTAAAATAGTCCCAATAATAATTGTATTTGGCGACTCCTAACAATGGAGACCAGTCCTAATTACCAGCCAAACTGACTCTTAAACAAAACACTCTGGTACATTTGTACCTCACAGTACACTTGTATCGATTGCTTTTTTGACAGTTTATCATGGAGTTTACAAATGGTGATGGAATTGGGAGGATATGTGAATGTAGTGGTGCTAGTACAATGGTGAATGCAACCTTCTCAATGTTACGAAAGGGTGGACAGATGACGTTTGTGGGACTTCCAAAGGAACCACTACACGTGGAGAACGTACTGCAAGACGTCGGTATGTCTAAAAAGACCAAATTTACGCCTTTCTTTTTTAGATATGCTCCGAATCAGTATGATATTTAACAGAACTATTTATTGCACGGTCAATGTATAAAATTCAAGCTTTAGTATGTATTTAAACTTCAGCTGGAATAAAATATTATGTGATTTGTTACTGCTTTAAACGTTTAGCCTTTAGCCAAACTTTTCTATCCTTTCTATCCAAAGAAATACTGAAAACAGGCACGTGAGGTTCGTTATCCAATGATATAAGCGCCACTCTTCGTAATTCGAAGAAAAAACTGTATTATACCAAAATCTTTTAACTATTTCTGAATATAGCTGAATGTATGAGTTGCGGCGTAAAGAGTTATCCTAATTTCATGAGTTCGAATCTCACTGTGGGAAATGGAGACCAGTCTTTCAAATGAGACCGTATAAATCGAGGTCCTGTATCGCAGTAGACGCTGGCATGAAAAGGTTTCCTTATTGCTCCATGGCCCCGAGCGTCGTGTATAGGTCTAAAATTGGCTGCTCAATATGAGTGAAATATTCTCGAAGGAGACGTTAAAAAAACTTATTTAAATACCATACAACTTTTTACCACTATCTAACAATGTATATCTTTTTCAGTGTTTAAGGCACTGACTCTGAAAACTATCCATGGCCGTCAGATTTATCACACCTGGGAGGAAACAGAGAGATTGGTTGCAGACGGCAAAATCGACGTCAAAAAGGTCATCACGAACAGGTTCCCGATGTCAAAGTATGAAGACGCCTTTACAGCTTTGTTTGCTGGGAAGGACTGTAAGATTATTCTGTATCCATCCCAATGATCACCAGCAAGGGAAGATGTCCTGGACCAACGACAAAAACGGGTTACAAATAAACAGATATTTTCAGGATCAAATCAGTTACAGTTTATATTTCCAGTGATTCATAAGCTATACTGAAGAGTTTGTTTTTAATTTCATTAAAAAAAATTATTAAGTATGTAAACATAATATCTTGTTTTGCTACTTAAACATGTGCAAAAAATTGTAATTCTGTTGAATTGTATGATTAAATATGTTAAAGCAAAGTATACCAATGTGTTTGATTTAAAGCGTAAAATTTTACTTAAAAAAAAAATTTAAGTGATCATTTTTTGAAGTAAAGACCAAAAGTAAATTTCAAAATGTTGTGAAATGTGCACCAGAAAAGTTGATTGAAGTGCAATCGGGGACATGCTTTATAACCATGTGCAATAATTCCATTGCTGGACGTGAATACGGTCCTTCGGATATAATAACCAAGATCCAGTTTCGGTACGAAAGAGATCCCTCACTGCTTAATGTGTCATGTGTGCCGAGTATAGGTCTAACTTTACAGCCCTCCACCGGCAAATGGTACCGTCTCCTTATGAGTGAAAAATTCTCGAGAGACACGTTAATCAACAAAGAAATAAAGAATAATATACAGGACATGAATATTTTGTGTCTGGATTTTGAAGGATGTATTAATTGTTCAGATAATTTTCCTTTTGAAACCAAGCATCCAATGATCTGTTTTGAAAAAAATATCCACTGTTCTGTTTGAACAATGTATCCTCTGTTCTGTTTTGAACAATGTATCCTTTGATCTGTTTTGAACAATGTAACCACGGTTCTGTTTTGAACAATGTAATTACCGTTCTGCTTTGAACAATGTAACCACCGTTCTGCTTTGAACATTGTATCCTCTGTTTTTTTAAACAATGTATACAGTGTTCTGTTTTGAAAAATTTAGCATATATTCTGTTTTAAAGAATATATCGTTCAGAACGATGTGTACTCTGTTCTAATTTGAACAATGTATCCTCTGCTCTTTTTGAACAATCTGTCCACTGTTCTGTTTTGAACAATGTATCCAATGTTCTGTTCTAACCAATCAGTTAACTGTTCTGTTTTGGACAATGTATCATCTGTTCTGTTTTAAACAATAAGTTCACTGTACTATTTTGAACAATGTGTCCATTGTTCTGTTTTGAACAATGTATCCTTTGCTCTGCTTTGAACAATGTATCCTTTGCTCTGTTTTGAACAATGTATCCTTTGCTCTGCTTTAAACAATGTATCCTTTGCTCTGCTTTGAACAATGTATCCTTTGCTCTGCTTTGAACATTGTATCCTTTGCTCTGCCTTTAACAATGTGTCCTTTGCTCTGTTTTGAACAATGTCTCCTCTGCTCTGTTTTGAACAATGTATCCTTTGCTCTGTTTTGAACAATGTATTATTTGCTCTGCTTTGAACAATGTATCCTTTGCTCTGCCTTTAACAATGTGTCCTTTCTTCTGTTTTGAACAATGTATTCTTTACTCTGTTTTGAACAAAGTGTCCAATAATCTGTTCTCAGGCGCGGATCCAGGATTTGAAGTTAGAGGGGCCCAAAAGTAGGCAAGGGGTCTGGGGGCCACCTTGAGGCCCCCAGTGGGTCCAGGGCAATGCCCTGGTGGGGGTACAGGGGGCGAAGCCCCCCGGAAGCTTCTGGATTCTAGAGATTTTGTAGGGTGAAAATGATGTCTACCAAGTATACATATTTACATTTTCTAAATGAAACTGATTTACTTTAATTTTGACAATTTTAGGGGGGGGGGGGGGCGCCGGGTGCTTTTTTGACCCCCCCCCTTCTAAATCCACCACTGGTTCTGAAACCAAGCATCAAATGATTTGTTGAAACAAAGTATTAACTGATTGTCCACTGATATGCTGGAACAATGTCTCCATTAGTTGCTGTAATAATGCATCGACTGTTTTAGGGAAAATGTATCCAATGATAGTTAACATACTTAGTATATGCTAATCTTTTGCAACAATATCCATTGATCTGATGAAATAATATCTATGGATCTACTGGAACATTGGATCCACTTTTCTGTTGGAACAATTTCTACTGAGATGTTGAAGCACTGTATCACTGATCAGTCAAAACACTACTAACCTGCTGGAACATTGCATCAACTGTTTTGTCGGAACAACATCCACGGATTTGATGGAACTTTGTTTCCCTGGTATTTTGGAACTATATCCACTGATCTGTCGGAACACTGTGCTCACGATGTAAGAATAATGTTTCTTTTGCAGTCAATATGTGTAATCAGGAACTTCATATACAAGTCTATTTCCTGAACCATCCAATACATACACCTATTTACTGGTTAAATGATTTAGAAATTACATGTAATTCCTGCTTAATTTGGAAATTACTTGTACATTACTGAATATACCCGGTATTAAAGTTTAACTTTAACACGTTTTTGTACTGATCACAATTAAGTTGTAATCAGTCATTCTTTTAAAAAGCAAAATGATTTCATATGTACAAATATTTAAAAGTTTAATTACGTGGAGTGAATATTACTTAACTGAACACAGTAAACATTTGCATTTCCTCAACAGTGTATAAATTTCATATATACTGTAATCCTAATTAAACTATGGAAAACATGAAATTCCATATATCAGATATTGACTGTACTTATACATATTTATTCAACAACCATTGCTCTGTTTTAATACTAGGATCCAATGAATTGTTGAAACAATGTGAAAACTGGACTGCTGGAATTTGGCATGCGGCCTGTAATAAAATACGTTAAGGTGTTTCCTGGAAGTTTATATGATGGCATTTACGACTCTAGAAGAATATCTGCTCTATAGCTGGGGATGATAGAAATTTGGATGAAATCGCAATTCGATGGAAAACTGCACATCTCTTTCACATCACTTCTTTCTTTTGATACTCTAACCGAAATTTGTCTGATAATACATTAATTGGATTTCATCCTGTTACGTTCGTCGCCAGCTTCCTATGTTTACGAGAAATTCACCTCTGTGTACCGTGTTCATGGCCAAGTTAACCTGGCCTTAAATCCTCTTTCCTCTTCTCTGCCAAACTCGTCAACTCTAGGTCTGATAATGTCAAATAGACGTGCATGTTACATGGCTTAAAAAGACGCTACATTGAAAAGAATAAACAACGTACTTGTGATGGACAAGGAAAACACAACCTAAAACAAAACGTTGGGGGTCCTACCAACAGTACGCCTGAACCCTGTGGCTGAAATAACAATTTTATACAAGTATTCAGACTAAAACATCTTACAGAATTTCCTGAATTAATTAACATTACCACTGGTTTATTTTCGTTGTCTTTAATTAAAAATGCCTCTTACATTTGTGGAAATAATTAAACATATGAAAGGCATTGTTAATTACAGTGTATTCAATTATTACTGCACACTGTTCACTGTAGGATGTACAAATGAAGTTGCTTTTCTTTTGTCTACTAGTTTATATACATGTATGATGCAGTTAAAATGTAGAAATGACATAAAGCAGATTAAGGGTTAACTATCTAGTACGTTTTCAGAAGCCTTGGTCGTCAACTTACTGGAAATCAAATCAATCTATGATTTAAGATACGTCACCTGCACTGCGTTTCCGTCACTGGCGGCAGCTTCTTGTCTGTGCTGTGACCTATCTCGTGTGCATTTGTTATCCCGACTTTGGATTAATGCAAATAGCCGAGACTGCATCGCAGTGCAGCGTACAGCAAAGGCTCTCTCTGGCACGGTGATGTAGTCTAAACATCATATGTAAACCAAGGGTCATTTCAATGTGGAAGCTAATTAAACAGAAAGTAAATACACCACGATATGTGGGAGATTACAGAAATATCTGCTAGAGGACATTTAAACGCCCAAATATTCGATTGTTTGATGCCAGAGACGGGGGGTCGTGTCCTTGGTTGTATTTCCTGTGTGGAATACCCTCCGATAGCTCCCACCGGACTCGGTACAGAACGAAGGTACAAATGCCGGTGTGTGTTCACTAAACCATACCACATTGCGTTTGACAAGCCGCCGTGTTAGAGGGTTTCCTTAGATGAAGGATCTGAGTTCAGTATGTCGGCCAGAGAAAAGGATTATCATACACTGAGAAAAGAACTTCTCAGGACCAACTCCCTGTTTGTGGACGCCGACTTTCCCCCGGACTACAGCTCCCTGACCTTTGACAAGACCCCACCCGCCGGACTCCGGACCGTCATATGGAAGCGCCCGACAGTAAGTCTCTAAAAATTACTCCACGTAATCTTTTAAAATTTTTTAAAACCTTTTAGCGTACATGTATTTTAATCCGTTCTAGAATTTAATTACATAAACATATTCTAACCTGCAAATTAAATGGTGAAATCAGGAAACATGCCTCGACATTGGTTAAGAGTGTGTAATTTGTAAGAACGCGTGGCTAAAAGTATTTTCGTGTTTAAAGTCAATAACAGTTCACTTTGATTTACCTGTTTAACGTACAACAGCTGTTTCAATACTTAAAAGCCTGCTTGGGAGTTTGTAATTACCTACCTCAATATCTACTACAACTGTAAACATTCACCTTAGTTTCCATGTTATTGTAGTCATATACAATCAACGAACAACCATTTCTCTCGCTAATGCCCTTGTTTATTTACATCTAAAGATTTGTAAATATCTAAATTAATGCATTTCAAAGTAAATCGTGTTTTAAGTGAATGAAAAATTGTAAGAATTTCATTTCACGCATCATGTAGTTATATAGGAAATCATCTTCCGTGAATTATTCAATTAATACATCGTAACAATGTACAATGCGCGATGTGGATATTTCCCTAACTGCTCATTTCTTGATTTGTAGGAATTGTCCAGAAACCCCAAATTTATAGTAAAGAATGCCACAAGATTCGACCTTGATCAAGGATACTTAGGTAATACACATACAGAGAGAGGTCTAATTAAATACAAAATATTAAAGGTGAAATAGCATTGAAGCTATTCAATCGAACCATGAAACGCAACCCTATGTACAATGCAGAATTTCCATAATTCAGTCAATATACATATTTTAACTGGCTCAGAGCTGGCAATCCATTTGTATATGTATGTGGTAATAATACACAAAACCGGTAGTTGATGTTTGTACATGGAATCTTATAAAGCTCATTTGTAATGTAAACACCTCTCTCATTCTGACATTGATTCGGGCACCTGGTCCCTGCATCGCTGCGCGCACCTGTTTCTGAAGGCCCCCTGACCACTGTCCGAGTGCTTCTCCTGTTGATTTTTTACAGGCAACTGTTGGTTCATCGCTGGAGCTGCTCTGGTAGCCACCAAAAAGAAGCTACTAGAAAGGGTGGTGCCTCAGGACCAAGAGTTTGACAGAACATATGCAGGTCAGCAAGTTATCTATTCTTTGTACGCCTAACAATTAAGCACACTTGATTTCTGTTGACTTTATATTGAGATGCTGCCAGTTGTAAATATGATATGTACTATTGAATAATACAGACATCTCAAAGTCCGGATTAAAAGTTTTCCTTCATGAAGTTACATCCTTGATTTGTGGCTAACACGTACGGCTACTGATTTTAAGTTTATTATATAATTATAAAACAACAGACAACTTCTTTACGAAATTTAATCAGTTTTTTTTCCACTTCAAAAAGATTGTTATTACTAAGTATTTTCCTCAAGAAATAAATTTAAAGGAAGAACATACTTATAAAAAATCATTACTCGACTCTGGTGTTAGGTCACACGCTATTATAAAGACAAATCTACATGTTTGTAATTGGAAACCAGAAGGCTAAAGGACCTGCATGCTGCTTCGGCTTTTAAAAGTTTTGTTGGCTTTGACATGCAATATTAATATTTGTTTTTTAAGACACGTGGGTAAAGTTAGGTCAAAAATAATCCATTCCGTCATCTAAGTTTTCTGAATTATTCATGTGGAATTTTCGGTAAAATATAATGATCTATGGGGGTCTCCAAAGTTTCCAAAATAATAGGATGCACTCGTATTTCTTTCACCTTTGACATGTTTATGTTTTTTATTCACAAATACTTGTTCATGGTTTGTAAAATGTGGATTTAAATGATGATGAATGAACGACGATCAAAAGTCATTCAGTGGCAGTGGGTGTAAGATAAAGAGGAGAGATGTTTTATGTAATTTCATTTTGTGCGTTTTAGTAGTTCTTTATTTATTATATTTTCATGATTCATTATATGTATAATAATTTCGATGTTATGAATAAAAAATATATTTATTCGTTTTGTTTTAATACATGCATAGTTCAAAGATTACGATCCTTTATTTTGACTGGTTAATTTCAGAAAAAATAGGCATTTCAAGTTTTTAAAAAAAAGAGATGGGCAAATAAAAAAAAACTTTAATTCCCATATGCAATTCGAAAACCATGAAATGTATATACATGTACATGTTAAATCAGATGTACGATTTACTTATTGCTAAGATGAATTACTACTTACCTGTAGATGAAATATCCCCCCCCCCCCGATTAATAACTTGTCGCTCAGTTTATTCATTTGTTGCGAAGTACCTGTGTACTACCATTAAGGACAAGCGTAACGTAGTTTTTAACTTTATTTTCTCATCCCCTGTAAATTTTTTGAGTTTCAAAAATTGAGGGGTGCCCTGTGCGATTTTATGAAAACTGGTAATGTCGTACACTTTCTCTTTCGTACCAGCAGAAGCTTTTTCTTTAAAAACACAAAGATGTTTATCATTTGATATTTGTTAAAAAATCTTGGCAAGGTTTGCCAATTTTGTGTCATTTTGGCTAAAATTTTGTATTGACAATTAAGATTTATTTTTTATACAGGGATTTTCCACTTTAACTTTTGGTGGTACGGGAAGTGGGTGGAGGTGGTGATTGACGACTACCTCCCCACGGACGGGTATCGCCTGATCTACGCCAGGAACAGGGAGGAACCCAACGAATTCTGGGCAGCACTGCTAGAAAAGGCGTACGCAAAGTAAGATGGCGTCATTATTACTATCAGACATTGATATAATTGTAATTTCATCTACATTAGTAACTGTAATATCCAGAACGGTTCCATTTTTTACAACAGATTGAGGGGTTGTTATGAAGGTGTAGATGGCGGGAAACTTCAGGATAGTGTGGTGGACCTGACTGGGGGAATCTCGGAAACTGTGGACATTAAGGACAAATCTCAGATCCCGGTGGACATCTACGAGATTCTATGGCGATCCTGGAAGATGAACAGTTTCCTTGGTTGTAGTATATCGGTGAGTTGAGTACTTTAAATGAAATAATATCGGCATAATTTTTTTTTGTTTTATCCAGTAATATTCAATCGAACACCTTCCAAAAAGGCATAAACAAAGAAATAGGTTTTAATCCTTAAACATAAAAAAAGTTTGATATAAGAATTATAAGGGGTTAAGAATTAATGTTTTCTTTTTAGCTTCCTCCAAATGTGAGTTCTTCATCTAGGGAGGTACGGCGGCCAAATGGATTGTACATGGGCCACGCATACAGCATCACTGCTCTAGCTGTGGTAAACACCAAATCTTTTGCATCGAAAATTTAAGAAAGACAAGAAGATGAACTTTATTAATGTTTTGTAAATACGCAAATGTTTTTCAAAGAAACCATCACTTTTTGCAGATTCCGTTCAAGGGGTCGAACGTCCGTCTCTGTAGACTTCGGAATCCATGGGGACGGAGCGAGTGGAATGGTGATTGGTCAGACGAGTACGTATCGCCTGCTTCCTACGTGTCTTTCAAGTAATCATTGACTCGCCTCAAATATCCAATAAATAAATCTTCTAATTCATTTGCAGGTCTTACCAAATCCGAAACTTATCATCGGAAGCCAAACAAAGGCTTGGAATCGTTATTCAGGATGACGGTGAATTCTGGTAATGATAATTCCAATGAAGGACTTTTGTATCCCCTTTTTTTATCAATTAGTAATTTGATTTTATGTCCATATAGTCATGAATGACTTAACATTTTTATAAATTAGATCTCTTCTTTTTTATATCTTTCACAATTTTTCTCCAACAGGATACCAATTGACGATGTGTTGGTTAATTTCGAGGAGATACAACTGATTCACCTTCAGCCCGACGCAACAACACAGGGAGTGGCTATAGATGAGGTAAAGGCACAGGGTTAGAATCCCCTCCTATCCTGAACTTCGGTATGAGCATATAAAACCCGACTATAGCCCGCTGTTTGATACTCTTTTTGTGACCTTCGTCGATTTTTTAACAATATATACTACATATACAAATCAAAATATGCCTGTATAAGTGCCTTTTGTTATGAGTACATAGTAAGAATGCACCTGAAAAAGACAGTTTTCAATTTAATACAAACAGATTGAGAGGAAACTTCAGGTAATGTTCACAGACAAACCTGAGTAATATCAACAGATCGTATTTTTTCTTGGTTAAACACACGTTGACATTCGATAGCATTGTAGAACACATTATAAAAAGTTAAGTTTGTGGAGATAGAGGAATTTTGTTCAATGAAAATCAACATGCCTACGTTATCAGCGATCTAGACTGTGAATTACAGGTTTTAAAGATGGTACAAAAAGTTAATTGTCTATGACGACATCCTAGCGTTTACCCCTGTGATCGCGGAACAAATTACCATTTAAATTCCAGGCAGATTGAAACATCAACAGGAATTCGAGGTTGATAACAATTTGAGTGACAAACTACACAAATGATAGAAAAACTGTGGGTGTTCAGATATGTCACATAAAGATACTTCTGAAGTTTTGATGAAAAAAAACCGTAAACGTAATTGAAAAAAAAAAATCTTATCATTTATTATGGTTTTTAGGGTAAACGCCAGTGGAACGTGACGGTTTATCATGACCAATGGATCAAGGGCGTCACGGCCGGGGGATGTGGAAATGCCCCATACCAAGGTTACAACAGAAATTTCATGTCCATCAATTTATGTCGAATTTCGGTTCAATTATATTGATTAGATACGACAAGTAGATAGTAAGCATTAAATTGAATTTACAGGAAATATAATTCCAGATATCATCTAAAAGGTGATAACATTTATTTGTAAACTTAGACTTGTACTGGAAGAACCCGCAGTTTTCGGTGACTTTACGAGATGTTGATGACACGGACAACAAACCAACATGTACCGTTATCATCAGCTTAATAGAGAAGGAGCACAACAACAAATCCAAAATAGCCATCGGCTTCGACGTTTATAAGGTAGGGAATATAGAACATATAGAAACATATTCAGTGGAAAGACTGCATTTAAATTGGCTTTTCTTGATTTTGTTCTCTGTTTAACTTTCAGTATAAAAATTTTGACTTTTACATTTCATTAAGAAGATTCACAATATAAACATTATTTTATAAGATTTTATTTCATTATTGCATCAAAATATGGAGATAACAAACAGTGATCAAGATCAAAAGTACATTAATTAAAACAGTACATACAAATGGCTGAACAAACACGGTCATCTAAAATATCACTGGTGGGATCATGTGCCATGAAGAAATAAACATCCCCTGCTGACCGTCACACCTGCGTGTGATCCTTGTCATGATTGGGAAAACTGAAAAAAAAATTAGTGGACATTTCAGTTTATAAATAATGGTCTAAGAATATATGTATATGAAAACTTCCAATGTGATTAAGATCAGATGAATGTTTCGCTCCCAAATTCTTATGGTCTTTTTAATGGAAATAAGATGAAGATAACGGACAGTGAACCGTCTCCAGCTTTTCTTTGTTTTGTTTTGTTTTCTTTCATAAAATTACAAACAAAATACATGAACAGGGCATTAACATACCAAGGTACAACCCAGTGATAGATTATATTTACTAATGAGGCCATTCTAACGACTTTAAATGAGGTGTTGTTAAAATCCCTGCAACATCAACTTATGTGGAAGTAACCTGCTTTGGTTTGAAAATTGTTCGTACTCAGATCATACTCTTGAGTAGTTAACATGAAAGTCAGAGTACTTGTGTGTACAATTAAAATATTTTTTAACAAAAAGCTAACACATTTTCAACAAAATATCAAAATATTGGAAAATATCAATTTCTTTTACTTTGGAAATTTATGTTTTTGAGTTTATTTAATTTTTTGTTTGTTTCTTTCTTTCCTTATATATTTATCTTTCAACGATCTTTTTTTTTGTGATTTTGGGCATGCTTATTAAATTCTTAGTCATAACTGATAACTATAGTATTCCTTTCTCACACCTAAAACGTAGCCAGGATTCATTAATGTCATTTATATATACGAATTGACCTTTATGGGCACTTCTTATTTACTGCAATTGAACTCTACTTAGTACGTAACCAGTGTAAGTTGGTAGTGTAATACTGATTTTTTATATATAAACGCACAGAATTATTATTCAATTTTATTTAATTTAGCGAAGTTGTTATGAAGAATTTCTTCTTAACTTTACATTAGGGATGACTCAGCCATTGATGGGGAAGAAAAAAAATAAAATCTACATTTAGAAAAAAAATTAATCTTTAGTGAAGGCACTTCACAAAAGAATTGTTGAAAGAACATCTTATTTCCTTCCAAGTACATTCAGGCCGCACATGTCACTTGATTACAAGAGAAAATAATCAAGGGAATTTTTAATATTTGCAAGTGAAAAAAACAAAATCAACATTCAGAACAAAAATTAATTTTATATTCCGTCAATGCTTCACATAAAATTCGTTGAAGGAACGTCTTATTTTCTGAGCAGCGCTTTCATGTCACTTGATATTAAGACTACCAAGGGTATTTGTGAATGTCTGTCCTCAAATCTGAAAATTTATACCGTGATAAAATTTGTGAATTAGGTAGTTATTCTTCTTCGGAAGTTTCACCTCTAACAAATTGCAAATTCCTTCCTTCAAGATCTGGTTAATTGATTATGGAAAGCACCTGCTAATTAACTAACCGATATTTCTTGCCTATTGCAGTGTGTTAGATGAACGCAATGGAGAAGTTAAGGTATGCTACTTAATCTTTATAACCGTACACATGATTTCTGTAGATCACATGCCGAATATGCCCCTCTTCTTTTTTTTTTTTAAACAAGTCGTGTTAGTTTGCTCTCAAAAAAGAGAAATAGATATTAAATACTGTTAAAAAAAACTTAGTATTTTTTAAAAAATAAATTGGATTATTTAATCATTTTTAAGCAAGGTTACCTTTAAAAATTGCATTTATTGAGACTTAAAAACTTGCACTTTCCAATAACATGCAGCTGTAAGAAATCCAAAAGATTGACTAAACAACATTAAATCCTAACGTATGTAATTGAATACCTTACACAATGCATTTAAGAAATTCCTTTCTGATTTTAAAGCCAGAAGCTAAACCGCCCCCAGTTCGGGACGCCTTTCGTGAGTTATTTCTAAAACACGCTGGTGAAGATGGAAAGCTCAAAGCGAAGGAGCTGAAGGAATTTATTTTAGAACTGTCAAGAACAGGTAGATTAATCAACAAAATCGCACTCTCAGTTTTATTTCCTGATGTTGAGAGTGAGTTTTCTGGAGAACATGTTAGAGAGATTTTTTTTTTTAATTTTACAGAAATAAATGAGCCTTTAAAATTCAGCACAGAAACCTGCAGAAGTCTTATCACAATGATGGATGTATCTTTTTTAACTTAAAAAGCAGAATGCGTCCTGCATGCTAAGTAATTAACACCAGATGTGAAAGCATCGTGAAAATTTGAGTAAATTGTTTACGTGTTGTTGTGTTTGTATAAGATGTAGAAGCATGTCATGTTGTGTTGTTATGTTAGCTTAACTGAACTAAGCGGAATAAATCTGGCGAAATGAGCTATGAGGATTCGATCAAGATGTGGAAAGAAGTGAAAGGCTATAGAGTATGTATGTCAAAAAATTACATGGAATTTTAAACAAAGGCCATAGAGTATATATGTAGTATAGGTACCTCGAAGTTGGATAAAGACTATAATACATTTTAAAAGTATAATTAGTTGTATAAAGACTATATGAATATAATGGCACATGTTTTTTGCTCTGGAAAGTATAAATATATGAGGTAAAATAGAAAATGGCAAAATGTAATTAAGAATCTAAAGTTTCATTAAATTTCCTTCAGCGGTATGATTTGGATAGTAAATTAGCCAGTTACTACCCTCCCAAACCTTCAATAATTAAAATTTGATGTTCCAGGGTACATAATTTAAAGGCTATATCTAAAGTATAGATACAGGAATGTAAAAATGGCTAGATATAGTTATCTAGCTATAGTAAGAGGCTAGTAATTAAAAGCTATGAAGTACGTAAGTTAGCCAGTTACTAGGAACCTTGAATAATTAAAAGCTGTAGGGTACATATGCTATTTAAAGTAAGAAGGAACTAAAGGCTATAATCTATTTACTCTAGTAACTGAATTACTCTAAAGTACCATAGTAAGTTAATGTGGAATTAAAGGTTGTAGATAAAACATTTCCCATGTCTTTGTTGTGTGAATATTTGTTTAGAACTGCACCAATTCTAACCATTTCTTAGCGAACTAATATAATTATTTCTAAGCTAAATGAATGCAAATATGATAGGCCTATCCATTTTTGTGAATGATTCGGTAAACGAGTCAGTATTGTTGACACAACAGTTGCGCCATGTACAAATAAAGACTAATTTTGAGCGCGTAGAATACTTGAGAATGGTTATTAGTAAGTTTTAATTAATTAGAATTGTCTTCCCGTTTAACACTTGACTTCAGTTTGACAAAGTCATCGAGAACGGGGAGAATTTCGAAAGCTGACTCCTATAACGCCTGGAGAACGATTTTAAGCGGGAAGGTACTAGTCCATATGCAGTCTATCGTTCTGTTGTTTTCAGTTTTATTCATTGCTGCATGCCAATGAAGCAGAAATACAAATGAAAAACTATAGATATAAATGTAACTCTTCCAAAAAATTCTATACTGCGTAGGTCATCTTCCCATAGTTGTTCCAGTCTCCAGAGATTGGTTTACAATGGTTAAAGTCCATTCTCTATCTTAATTCAATATATGTAGTCCGTTTATAGTAAATACACATCTTCTGAGAAGACTAGAGCTCATTTTCAAGAAATCTGTGCATTCCCTCCATTAAAAAACTTGATATCAATTAATATATTACTTATAAAGACTTCATGGGGACGAAAAAAATGAAACTCCCAAATATGTTTATCATTTTTATGGCTAATACATGTGATGAACCTAAAGAGTAATTGCACTCACTACATCTTGTTTCCATTTTGATTATATGTGTCACTATTTAGAGGACATTTCCTACAAGAGTAATTCCTTTATATGAACTAGCTTGTGTATATTTTCCTAAACATACCATCTTTAGATGTTTTTGGTCTTTTTTATACAAGCATACTAGTATTTTATTCTGTTGTGATTGCAGGCTGTTTTCCAACAGTTTGACATAGACGGATCGGGGACGGTGGATACGTATGAACTAGACAAACTATTTAGCACATTAGGTAACAAACACGAAATCTACTCACATTTTTAAATTCAATATTTATTGTTTTAAACTATCAGACAACTAATGTTTTGGACTAAAAATGTCCTTGTATTGACACACAAGCTTCTTGGCTTCATGTATTTAGCTCCCTCTCTAGGTTTTCCTGTGAATAGAATGGTACAGACAGCAATAGTCCGGCGATACGCCGACAGAAACAACAAGATCCGCCTCACAGACTTCATCATAGTCATATGTAAACTAACCCTCATGTATCGTAAGTTTCAAGCCTTAATTTTCCCAACTTTAATTTAAAAAAATCAATGCATTTTCATAAAATTGCATAGAACATTTCAAGGTTACTGTATGTTTTAACAATATGATTTGTACGTTATCCTTTCTTAAGAATGCAAAATAAAATGATTTTGTTTTCTTCAGAAATATACAAGGATCAGCAAATAAAAACGGGCAGCCCTGATTCTGCTTCTTTCACTATGAACGAGGTACGTAGTATTATAACTAGAACACGAGGGAGAAAAGTAGGTCACTTTCATCCAATACTATATATAAATATCTACTTTGCTGTCTTTGTAGTTCCTTTATTATACGATGTACTGCTGAGCCTTGTTCAACATGGCGGATATGTCAGACGTGCCAACATGTGTTCACTTCATTTACCATTTTTCTGGAAACGACTTCATTGAATTATACATTTATCTACGAGTAGTCCCTACGAGAGAGTCTAATACGTGATGCAATATTTCAGTGCTACCTGAGAGGCCAAGATTTTTTTGTTATATATATTTATACATATTTGCATTGTGTTTTAATAAAGAGTTTAATTTGTAGCTCGTTTGTTGTTTTTTATGATTACTTACTAACTTAGTCTTCTTGTGCGTTGAGCACATAAGGCCTGGACCGAGGACCTCCATCTCTGTCCGTCTGCTGACATTGATTGTACCATGCCCCAATTAAGTCCATCCCTGATCTTTTATCTTTTTTTCTATTGATTGTCATCATGTATCCTTTGATTGCCATCTGTTTCTCTTTCCTGGTGAAGTCTATCTTAAGGCTACCCGTCGTATATCTGATGGTTCCATTCTCATCACATGGCAAATCCATTTCTATCGTCTGTCTTTAATCTAGTCAAATATAGCAGCTGTGTGTGTTCTTTCATAGAGCTCCTCATTGCTGATCTTGTTTGGTCAGAATATCTTGAGTATTCTACGAAGACATCCATCTCGTATGGAAGGTATTTAGCTTTTGCGTGATGTTGTTTGTCACCTTCCATGACTCAGATCCATAAAGGAGGACTCCAATGACATTTGTTTTGAATATATTTATTTGGTTCTGATACTTGTAATTGAAGATTTCCAGATGTTCCGTAGGTTGGCAAAGGTGGCACGGGCTTTTGCAATTCTATTTTCAACGCTCATGGTTGAATCTTAATTGGCTGTGATCTTACTGCTAGGGTATTTAAAATTGTCTGCCTTTTCTATTCTGTTGCTATGTGTTTTAACTTCCTTATCTGTCTTTGTATTTATCTTCATTAACTTTCTTTTGTTTACATTTATATTTAGTCCAGTTTGTTTGGTATACTTGACCAGGTCATGAATTTTGCTGAGATGGTAAAGCGATGTTATCTGCAAGATCTATTGACTGTTGAAAAGTCCAGGACATTGCTCTACCGGCCTGACTCGTAGTGATTTTCATAACCCAGTCTATGTAGAAAGTAAAGAGCAACGATGAAAGCAGACCTCCCTGTCGTACCCTTGTTTGGATTGGGAAGCTGTCTGTTAGTTCTGTGACGCAGATCACCTTTGCCTGGAAGACGTTGTAGCTAGGAATGCCATAATGTCTGAGGATCATCCATAAAGCAGGACGGTGTATACTTTGGCAAAGTCAATGAAATTGCCATACAACGTAGCGTTCCATTCATTGCTCTGTTCTAAAATTTTCCACGGGGAAAATATCAGGTCTTTGCATGATTTTCCTTTTCTGAATCCAGCTTGTTCTTTACGAAGGTATGGGTCTACCACTGAGGCCATTCTCTTTAAGATGACTCTACATAAGACTTTGCTGGTAATTGACAACAACATAATCCCTCTCCAATTATTTGTGTCAGCTAAGTCACCTTTCTTGGGCGGCTTCACTATGAAACCAACCTTCCAACCATCTGATGCTGTTTCTGTCTGCCAAATAATTTGCAGGATATCTGTGAGAAGTATGTGCGTTAATACTTCCGCAGCTTTTAACATTTCTGCATTTTCCTGATCGATCTCTGGGGCTTTCCCATTTTTAAGGAGTTTAATAACATGTTTTACTTTCTCAATAGTTGGTGCGTTTAGTATCGATGTCAAAAGTGTCTTTATCTTAATAATTTCAGCTTGTTCTGTTGATGGAAATTTCTGGTTTAATTCCCTTTCAAAATGATTTTTCCAACAGGTAAGCTCTTTTTTATACTGGAGGCCTATTCTCCATCTTGTTTTTGCACTGGTGTGTCTGCGTTTGAATCCGTTCACTCAGAGTTTTTGTAATGCTGTATAATATCCCCATGTTTTCTTTTGAGACCGCATTTTCTTCATCTTGCGCAAGCTTGTCAACATAATCTTTCTTGTCCATTCGTGTACTTTTCTTAACTTCATTATCTTGTATTGAGTATGTTTCTTTTAGCTGATCTTTTAGCATAGCTGACTTGGTTGTTAGTATTTTCTTCATTGTTTTGCGTCTTAGTTCGACCATTTCCCAGGTCTTAGATGACATCCCTTCTTCCTTTTCAACACCGGTGTTTTCTTTATTGCTTCGACAAGTGTGGTGTTAAATTGTTCAATACAGAGTGTGTGGTTTATCACACCACCACAAACATGTTTTCTCATTATGAATTCTTTTCCTTGAATGTTGGTACCAACTTTTGCATTGAGATCACCAAGTATGATGAGTACATCATGAAGTGGTGTTTCCTCCACAGCTCTCTGCAGTTCTTCATAAAAAGAAGTCTTTTTTTTCTTCTTGTCTTCTGTGGGTGAGAAGCAGACTTCAGCCATCAGATAAGCATGGAATCTTGCAGAGAGAAGTCTGTCATTGTATGGTTTCCAACCTAACATGCACTTCCATAGTTTCCTGCTTAGTATTAAGCGTACTCCACTGCTGTGCTGTTCATCGTTTCTTCCGGAGTACAGTACTGAGTATCTGGTGGCAAGTTTACGAGTCCCGTGTCATGTCCATTTATTTTCACATATACCTAGCATTTGGATATTATATACATGTATGTCCATTTCTTTGAAGACTTGATCAAATTTCCCTGTCTAGTAGAGGGTGCGGACATTCCAGCAACCAATTCTACATACTTTTTTAGAGTAATATATCTTCACTATCTGCACATTGGTGTCAGTTTCCTGCTGGGTTTCCAGCTGTCTTAGCATACCAGGGTAAAAAAAACGGGGAGGTGTGACATGTGACTTGCTGGCAGAACCTATTTTTGACGGTGGGCATGCATTAACTCAAAGTTTTACTGGTAAATCTCTGTGACCAAAGAAACACCCCTCGAGACCCTCACCAGCATTTGACCCCTTTTTATGACTAATAGTCTTTAAAGATAATTTTATTGTGGATGCTCAAAAATTCCAAAGAACTTTTGGACAATTTGAAATCACGAGAATTTACCAAAATCAACAGCTTAAAAACTTACGTTTTTTCAACTTTACACACAACCATTCCCCACGATAAATTAAAGCCCAGCCTTTTTTATATCATTGTCAGCTGCTTTTTCAATAAAAATGGAACTCGTACATTTACTTACCTGGTCATTGGTCATTTGCAAAATTATTTTGTTAAAACACATTCTGATTGCACACACAAGTACTCTGAAATTGACATCTAAGAGATGCTTGAGTTTCTGATTGACAAGATCTATGTGGTTTTTGGAGACCAGGTGTTCCAACAATCTACTGGAATTCCCATGGGTACCAATTGCGCTCCGTTATTAGCAGACTTATTTTTATATTCATATGAAGCAGAATTTATGCAAAATCTTATGCGTGAAAAGAAGAAAACACTTGCTGTGGCCTTCAACTCGACATTTAGATATATCAACCACGTATTGTCAATTAACAATGGTCATTTCCATTACTACGTCGATACGATATATCCTGGTGTGCTTGAGATAAAATATACCACAGAGTCTGACACATTTGTTTCGTACTTGGATGTTTTGCTTGAAAAAGACGTTAATGGTAATCTAACAACCAAGTTTTATGATAAACGTAATGACTTTAACTTTTCTATCGTCAACTTCCCTTATTTATGCAGCAATATATCTCCATCACCTGCATACGGAGTGTATATATATATCTCAGTTGATTCGATACGCAAGAGCATGCTCTACGTATTAACAATTTCTAAAACGAGGTAAATTATTGACAAGGAAGTTGATGAAACAAGAATATCAACAGTCTCGTCTAAAGTCGTCATTTCGTAAATTCTATGGTCGATACAATGACTTTGTCTGCAAAAACATTTTATCATTGAGACAAATGCTGACTGACGTTTTTCATACTTATTGTTAGTCCATTATTTATACACTAAATTGATGACGGATTTTTCCGCTATTTCCCGATCATGACAAGGACTTTGATATTGAATACTGTTCGTTATCTCCATATCCTTCTTTATTTTTAGGGTCTGTTGCACGTATATTTCTATCTTCATATAAACCCTTAAAGTCAGCATTGTTTAAATTCAAATAATTGAGGAAAAAGATATGTTATTTTTATGGTGTAATACTCCTATAACAGTGTCATTAATTAATAAACACGACATAAATGAGAAGTAAAGTTTGAATGTAGATAGATGATACGTGAGGTAACAGCCCATGAATCTACATAGATAGTCAAGGAGGTGAGTGCATCTTCTACCTAAGGATGAAGATTTTCATGTGCGTATACGGATGAGCAGTGTATACTGAACACTTAAGTATGGATCTACACAGGTGACCAGTGAAGAAGGCAGTAGAAATCCAAAGAGAGTACCAATGAAGTAGTTTTTGATGTACATGGGTGACTTGTGAAGGAGGTTTGCATATACACAAATGCCCATATTTAAGGTGTTAATTCAGACCGAAGACCGGTGAAGTTAGTGTGAATCCAGACGCATAGTAGATGCTGATGTACGATTACATCCTGTGATTTATTTTTTGGATTGATTGGATGTCGTTTTACGTCCCGTTCGAGAATTTTCCACTCATACAGAGACGTCACCATGTTCCAGGCTTCAAAGGACCTTTGCTCGGCACTCGGGCTATTTAGCAGTGGCGGTTCTTTATCGTTCCAACGCATATCGAGGCACGAGGCCTCGGTTTTTAAGGTATCATCCAAAGGCCCTAAACTTTTACTTCAAAGTGTCGAGTGTTTGGCGAAGGAACAATGCTACCTACTTTTCTATCTACCTGCCTCAGACTGCTGTGATTCGAACACGCATCCTACCGATCATGGAGCGAGCCTATGGAACGCCATGACTGCCTTATATTAGATGATTATATTATATGCTGTGGATTTGTAATTATATGCTGTGGATCTATTATTATATGCTGTGGATCTATTATTATATGCTGTGGGTCCATAATTATATGCTGTGGTTTTATAATTATATGCTGTGGGTTTATAATTATATGCTGTGGGTCTATAATTATATGCTGTGGGTCCATTATTATATGCTGTGGATCTATTATTATATGCTGTGGTTTCATTATTATATGCTGTGGTTTCATTATTATATGTTGTGGGTTCCTAATTATGTGGGTTCATAATTATATGCTGTGGGTTCATAATTATATGCTGTGGTTTCATTATTA